AATGAATGAATGAATGAATGAATGAATGAATGAATGAATGAATGAATAGGTCTTTAAAAAAAAATAGTCAAAGAGGAGGAGACCAGCTTCTCAAAGGAAAAGGGCTGCCTGGGAGGAAAAGAGAAAGAACAAACATAGGTAGAAAAAGAACTCTCAAGAACAGAGAAGCCTGTGTAAAAATGCACAGAGGTGGCATGCAGGCATGGATAAGGAACAGGCTTCCAAATTGAACAGAAGACTGAGCCAAGACTTGGGAGAAGTTAGAAACGATTCAGTAGTACAGCTGGATATAGCCAGGATGTCTTAAGTTCAGCGTGAAGTAAAAAAAATAAATAAGATTTATGTTTATCACATTCCAGCAAAGTGTTGCATTATCCAGAATGTGCTCATAACTCAGATTCTACTCTCAACACCTTTCCTCACTCAGAAATGAGCAGATATAAAAGAATTAAGCTATTAAGCTAGTCTCTGGGTCTCACTACTGTTATATTTTCATTCCTAGGATCCTGAAGTCCAAAAGCATGCCACTCAAATCCTCAGGAATATGCTGAGGCAGGAAGAAAAAGAGCTACAGGTGAGATCACTATGAAAGATAGGCTAGCCATTATCTTTATGCAGTCATCCCTTACCACAGCAATCCACCAGTGTATGCAACTTAATTTTGTAACCATATCCAATTACAGTGAGACCCCAGGGTCTGTGGGTAAATAGCTCACATGCTTGACACCCAAGTTCAGTCCCTAGGGAAAAGAGGGTACTTCTTACGACATTAAAAGGCTTGCCTTTGGCCAATGGGAGTAGTAGGATAGCAGAATCCCATGGTTAATACATTAGGATAATGAATATTTGACTAAATATAAATAAATAAGGAAACAGACTAAAATGAGAAACTGCCAGAACTGAGGAAAATTGGAGTTCATTGGAATTGTTAGAAGATTCCAAAGAAATGAAAGGTAAGCATGGGAGATAGGGACAGACAGATGAATGCTGGGGTAGACTGATGGTGGAGAGGGTGAAGAGAGATTGTCAGTGTAGGAAATGAAGGACACAGAGATGAGGAAGAAGATGAATGTGGTTGGAATAGGTCACCCTGAGTTCTTACTATATATAAATCATTGCTTTAGTTTCTGTGGTATAAAAAGGGAAATGAGACAGTTCTTACCTTCAGTGTACTTTAAGTCTAGTGGGGGAAATTTCAAATCGTAGTAAGAGGAAAGTAGGAAGAACAAAGAGGTCATAATAAAAATTAAAAGGAAGAAGAAATACAGTGGCATGTAAAAGCTCCACAGTAAAAATGGTATTTTGTTTGGGTTTGGAGGGGCAGAACTTTAGCAGCAAGGGGTAGGGGGAAAACATAACTTTTATTCTAGCACTTGGGAGGGTGAAGCAAGTAGATATCTGAATTTGAGGCCTTTCTGGTCTACATAGTGAGTTTCAGGCTAACCAAGGCTACATAGAGAGACACTGACTCAAAAATAAACAAAAAAAGAGTTGGGGGTATGTTAGTGAGGAAACAGTTTAGGTCAAAGGCATGAAGTTGCAAAAACACGCTTAACAAGCATTGTGTTCTTGCAGTGTGCCAAGTATTCTGTTAGAGCAGTGAATGGGAGTAGCCTTAGAGGAGGTTTTGAATGGTTACAGAGACAAAAATGAAAGATGTGCCTTTCTCTTAAGAGTTATAGCAGTACCACAGGGCGGGATGAGTGAAGCTCTGCTACATTGTATGTTGGTATTTGTGTATTCCCATTGGATTACTAAGACCGTTATAAGACCAGACATACAGCCAATGGACTAGAATTCAGAATTATGTATTAATCCATACAATTATAGCAACTCATTTCCAGTAAAGGTACTAAGACAATTCAGTAGTGTTTGTCTCTTCAATAAATGGTGCTAGATCAACTGGATATCTACAAACAATTAATTTGGATCCTTATCTCATGTAATTAACAAAATTTAATTAAAATGGATTAATAAAGTCTCAACAGAGAAGAATATAAAACTCCAGAGAGGTATTTGAAAGAGGGGACTTGGAGCTGAGCCGACTATGTGAAGTTGTTTTTCTGTTGTTATTTTCTCAGCACTGTCTACACAGCATTTACATTATGTTAGATAATGTAAATAACTAAGGAAAGAAAAATATGAAACTTTTAGAAAGAAACATGAGTATGAGTCTTCATAACCTTGGATTAGCCACCGTTTTTTTTATTCATTTGTTTATTTATCTATTTATCTATCTATCTATCTATCTATCTATCTATCTATCTATCTATCTATCTTTTTTTTTTATTGTACAATGCCTGCATGTGTGCCTGCTCACCAGAAGAGGGCGCCAGATCTCATTATAGATGGTTGTGAGCCACCATGTGGTTGCTGGGAACTGAACTCAGGACCTCTGGAGGAACAGCCAGTGCTCTGAACCACTGAGCTATCTCTCCAGCCTCCTAGCCACTGGTTTCTTTATGCTACTAAAAGTACAAACCGTTCCCCACAAGATAATTGGATGTCATCAAAATTAAAATGTCTGTGTATAAAGGAATAATATAAAAAACAAAAGGGCAGCTCACAGAAGAGAAGAAATAGTTTACAGTCATATATTTGCTAAGGGTCTATAAGAATATGTAAAGAACTCTTCTACCTCAGGAGTAAAAAAACAATGAACCAAGCTGGAGAGATGGCTCAGCAGTTAAGAGCTCTGCCTGCTCCTTTAGAAGACCCAGTTCAAATCCCAGCACCCATGTGGCAGCTCACAACTGTCTCTAACTCCAGTTTCAAGGTATCCAGTGCTCTTTTCTGGCCTCTGTGGTCCCTGCGTGATACACAGATATACATAATAACCATACACACAAAATAATAAAATGAAAATGATTTTTAAAAAGACAAAAATAAAGCTAAAAATTTGACAAGGACTGTGATAGTTTCAGTCGTTAGAACACTTGCCTAGATTCTAGATTCAATTCCTACAGAGCACTAGAAGCAAACAAACAACAACTAAAATTAAAAAATAAAACTTTAGGTGGGAAGCTGATTAATTCAAAATGTTGTTTGTTGTTTTTAAATATTTATTATAAGCTTTGTTGATTTGGGGTTTTTCAAGACAGGGTTTCTCTTTGTAGCCCTGGCTGTCCTGGATCTCACTCTGTAGACCAGGTTTGCCTCGAACTCAGAAGTCCACTAGCCTCTGCCTCCTGAATGCTAGGAAGAAATGTGTGCACCACCACTGCCCAACTCTTTTAAATATTTTTTAAGAATTGGGTTGGGGGGCTGGAAAGATGGTTCAGAGTTTAAGAGCACTGGCTGATCTTCCAAAGGTCCGGAATTCAACTCCTGGCAACTACATGGTGGCTCACAACCATCTATAATGAGATCTGGTGTGCTCTTCTAGCCTGCTGGAACACATGCAGATGGAACACTGTATACATAATAAATAAATAAATCTTAAAATATAAAAAAGAATGTGTGTGTGTGCGAGTGTGCAGGTGCTCTCAAAGTCCAAAGCGGTTGTCTGGAAGAGTAACAAGTGCTGCTAACTCCAGAGATGTTCCTCCAGCCTCAGAAGCTTTGTTCTTATTCTAAATAAAATGAGCAAAGAATTTGAACAATTCTCTAAAGAAGACACAGGCAGGCATTGTGACATATGCCTGTAATTCCAACACTTGGAAGTCTGAGGCAGGATTTCAGTTAGGAGGCCAGCCAGGCTATGTAGTGAAAAACAGCCCTAACACACAATTAAAGAACACAGATGGCCAATAAACATGTGGAAGGATGGAGCACTGCTCCTCAGAATAACAAGATACTGCTTCTGCTTCACGGCCACTAGGATTTCTACAGCCAAAATCATGGAGAGCAGCATGTCGGTAAGGCTGTAGACAACCTGAGGAATACTTCTAGTCTTTAAGCTCACTCTCCCAGTCTGTTTGCATCACTGATGATGGGAATATAAGATAATACAGTCACGTGGAAACAGTAGGCAGTTCTTTCGGGTGTTAAACACAGATACTATGTACCTTGATAAATCCACTCCTAGATAACGTGCCAGGAAGAATTAAAAATACATATTCACACAAAAATTTATACATTAACATTCGTGCCAACTGTCTTTGAAGTAGAGAAGGAAACAACCTGGAGTCTGTCAACTGATGAGAAAAATGCAGTCTATCTGCAGCACAGTGGGGCGTTTAGTCATAGTGAAGAATGGATGCGTGAACGGAAGACCCTGAAGACACTCTAAATAAAAGAAGCCAGGCAAACCATAGATGTGTGATTCAGTCTCCACGCAATGTCCAGAACATGCGAATTCTTGATGATGGAGTCGACTCTTGGTTGCCAGAGGGTGGCAAGTGGGAGAGGTAGATTGGCAGCGGTGGCTTACAAATACCAGCTCTCCTATTAAAGGGTTAGGATGTTCCTGTTTGATAGTGGCAGTGGCTATGTAAGTGTGACTATACTAAAACCTCCATTATACACTTCAAATGAGTTCAGCTTATATGAGTTATATCTTAATAACAGACTTGAAAATAATTCTTGGGTACCATAGAAACTTAAATGAATGAGTAATTTATGCAGTTACCTATTAAACTTTCATGAGATGATAAACTAGTTGGGTTCAGTCTACTGTGACCAAAACATTGAAAATGACAGTAGAGGACAGTGTGTGGGAAGTGACTTAGGTCACTTAAAAATTTCAGAGTTTCTCCTAAAGGCTGTGGGAATTGATCAAAGATTTTCAAATGGATATTCAAATCAGTCTTTTTGAGAGAAGTATGTTTTTGAACTGGAGAAATGAGTTAAGATACGGTTAAAAGTCCCTTGCTGTCCTGCAGAAGACCCAAGCTCAGTTCCCTGTACCCACATGGAGCCGCTCGCAACTGCCTGTAACTCCATTGTCAAAGCATTAGATATGCCTCTTCTGGCTTTTGCAGTCACCTGCGCGTGCATAATGTGAGGCACGAACACACTTGACATAAAGAAATCTTGGTGGTGGCTGCAGTAGTATATGAAATGAAAGATTTGGCAAGAGCAGTAGAAGTTAGAACAAAAGAGAGAGAACAGGTAAGAGACGGATCAGAAGTCACATCAGGAGAAATTACCATCTGCTAAGGAGAGAAGAGTAAAGCTTGGTGCCTAGGTGCCATGGGGGGAGTCAGATAGGTCACAGGAGCAAGGCTTATAGGACAGAAATGAAGGCCAGCTTTGGGTCTGAGTTAGCATACCTGTGAGGTAGACTATTCTCCGGGAAATGGCTCTGGAGCAAGGAGATTGGGGAATCCTCAGCAACAAGGTAATCACTGAAGCTCAGATTTGGCTGAAGACAGCACACCGAAGCAGAGGGGAGAAATCTAAAAGTGGATTGAAGATTTGTGTGCATCTGTGGCACGGTACTAACGTTCGGTATCTGCACTGTTTGCTGCTGTTTGATCATTTAAAGGGTAGCTTGGGTGGTGGGGAAAGGAAGAAAAATGGGCTGTGGCTTAAAAACAATCTGGATTGGTAGAAATAATTTTATTTTGGCAATTTGCTTTTAATTTAGGGAACTTAGATATCTTTAAAAGGTAGGATAATGGGAAGAAACAATTTGAGAAAGATTTTAAAGGTATCTGAAAGATGTCTAAGAGGCACTCAACGCAACCAGCGTGGTTCAAAGTGGGAAAAGATTGTATTTCTGTTCTGAGTCAGGAGAAGAAATGGATGCAGATGTTGGATGCTGAGGCCAGTGTTTAGGGTTTGATGGCATGACAAAGATAAATATAAAATGTAAGGGATTTGAATGAGGTTGCCAGGTAACCGGAAGCTTCAGATAGGAAGTCAGTAAGTAAGTGAACCTAACATCTTAGTTTAACCAGTCTGTTTTGCTGGTGATCCCTTTTGTACAAAACACTTTGGCAAATAACTGCCACGGCTACTCTAGCGAGCATGTTACATACTCATATTCAGATGTTGGGTCATCTCCGTTCTTGACCTTTGTATTCAAACTTCCCAGGCCTGCACAGCTAGTATTAATGGGCCAGTCTTCTCAGCTCTGTACACTCACTCTGCTGCATGCTGTCAGTACAGTAGGAGAGGTAGATGGTGCCTGCTCTTCAGAAGTTTCTGGTGATAAGGCTACTGGGTTCTCTAGGCTGTTCCTCTTTTTACTTGAGATTTTTATTATGTTACATTTGCCCTAACATTCTCCATGTAGTGATCTGGATAGCTACTTCTGTGTTCTATACTTGAGTGTGAGTTGACGAAGACTCTGTCCAGCCCTTTAAAAATAGGTCAGTTTAGGGCAGTCCTTTTGGTTTGTTTGTTTGTTTTCTTTCTCCAGCTGCTTCATATATTCTGTTTCTCATCAGTCGCCCTTTTCCTGACCCTAAATGACGGTGAAATAGCTGCATTTAGTAGCAGACAGAGGTCTCTTCTCTCTTCTTTGTTTTGTGATAACTGCCTGTTCCTATTACTGTTAAGTCATCTATCCTCTACTAACCGCTACTCTACCTTTCCCTTCCTCCTCCACTTCCTCCTCTTTCTCTTTACCCCTCCCTAGCGTATCTGTGAGGTGTATAGTCGGAATCCCGCCAGCCTGCTAGAAGAGCAAATTGAAGGTGCCCGGCGGCGAGTCACTCAGTTACAGCTGAAGATCCAGCAGGAGACTGGTGGCTTAGTGGTGAGTGTAGTAGGCATTGCTCCAGGAACAGCTCCATGCAGAGGAACTAGTATAGAAGGAAAAGAGCAGGGCTAGAATAAAAGAAGGAGAAAAGAGAGCCTCTTGGGCTACAGCAGGACCAGCACCAAAGAGGCTGAGCACTATTGAAATACCTACCTGGGATACCATGAAGAGACAAAGTCTGTTTCATGCTCTTCTTGTGGGGAAAAAGGAAAAAATATAATAAACCAAATAGTATGCTTTAATCTGCTAATTACTCCTTCCTTCTGAATACCTTCCTATTCATGTGTATTCCTACTCTGGCATTACTGAGCATTCATCTGGTAGCTTTTTCTTTAAAAGAACATAAGTGCTTTCCAAGTCAGCCTCAGAAAAGGATTGCAGTCAGTTGAGAACAGGCTATATGTGCTTTGTAGAAAATGTCATATAGGAGGACATTTTTTATCTGTGCTCATCAGGAACTTTACTCTGAGTAATCTTTCTTCTAAGGACTAGCCTTAGGAAATTATGGATCTTAGAACACTATTTTCCCAAACCCATAGAAATTGTTTAAGGTGGAGCTGGAGAGGTAGGTCATCAGTTAAGAGCACTGACTGTTCTTCCAGAGGACCCAGGTTCATTTTCCAGAACCCACATGGTAGCTTACAGCCATCTACAACTCCACATCCAGCGGATACAGTCTCTCCTCTGGCCTCCATGGGCGTTGTGCACACATGGTACAAATACATCCACGCATGCACAGTGCCCATATACATGTAATTAAAATTTTTTAATTTGCTTAAGGCATTCTGTTTTCTTTTTTTAAGATAGCCTGTTCAGAATTTGGTAAAAACATAGGTAAATCAACTTTAAAATTCACTTTCTGAAGGAACTTTCATATCATGGTGGATGGCTTGGATTATGGGCTTAGACCATCTAGTTTTGATTACCAGCTCTACTTCCCCTCAACCTTCAGACTCATGGCCAAGTAAACTTAACCACTAAGAACCTCTCTTTGTTTTCTCACTTATAGAAGAAGGACACAACAGAAACTACCTAGTTGGGTATTACCAGAATTAAAGTATGCCACTGACATTGTGTGTGTGTGTCTGTGTGTGTCATGAATTCTGAGAGTCTGAGCAGAGAGTCAGGATATTTGGGCTCTAGCCTTAGGTTAGGAAGATTACTGAACACCTGAGCTGCTTTTTGGCTCCTCGTTTGTAACTTGGGAATGGCTTCTTTTGCCTAGTTGCTGAAAGACTGATTGCAGTGGAGACAGTCCTTTGTGCAGAATAGAGCACTCTAAGTGTTCCTTCTGCAGTGGCTCATGCCAGTACCAGTGCTCCCCCGAAAGACACAATGTTTAACATCTTTCCTCAGCACAGGCTTACTAGCATTGTATTCTTTGATGGTTAGAAAGTCCTTTCCTGTATCTAACTCAAATAAGACAATAAGGGCTTTGAAGTCCAGGGTGATAAGGGAAGGGAGACTTTTTGTTCGTTTCTATAGTAATGGTCAGGCGCCTTTCCCTCCATTAGGGGTCACCACTTCTCCCACTACACACCGAAAGAGCATCCCTTCTGGCTGGGTATTTCCTAGGCAGTAAAGCAGACGTGACCACGTGTTATAAAAGCAAGCATGGCTCTGGTGGGGGAAAGGGACAGGAGTAGGAGAGGATCAGAACATTTTCTCACCTTTGGTCTTTTCCTTTTTAGGACGTACTTCCACTCTATGGTGACAACAGCCAGAGAACATCTGAAGGTAAATCCCCATGTATGAGGCTTCTTCTGTGGTGGTCTCGCCAAATGCGGCAGGTTCTAGAATAATGAGGAAAAGAGATACCAGTACACAAGGCAGTCAGATGTGTAAAAATAAGCAATGGCCAAGTAGCTACCAAGATGACAGGTCCAGACAGCAGCATGTGGCACTTAGAAGCTCAACAGATTCTGTGAAGAGGAATGTGAAGAGGGTTAGGAATAAGCTGAAGTGGATTACACACTTTTATTTTAGGTGGTGGCATGTTCTGTCCCCATATACAGAAGTAGGCAAAAGCTAGATATGGAGAAAGTAAAAGACCAGTGTGCCGGAAGAACCTGAGATAGAAGAGTTGAAGGACAGCTGGCAAAAGAAGGGAAGATGGCAGCTTCCCCTTCCTGCCTAGTGCCCAGAATAAAGGCTATTCTTTAGGGCCTGAGATTTTTTTTTTTTTTTTCTCTCTCTAAAACTATCTGACTTGTTTTCTTCTCAGGCCGCCTCTCTCTGGATTCCCAGGAGGCAGACAGTGGCTTGGACTCTGGGACAGAACGCTTTCCCTCTATCAGTGAGGTGAGTGCCAGTAGGCACAAGGCCCATTTAAAATGTATACACTCAATGTCCCACCCCTGGGCCCTGGACGGCACTGCTGCTCATTGGCCACTGAAGGGCCTGCCTCATCACCTGGGCACCTTCTCCACAATTCTAGCTTTAGGGATGTAATCACTGTGTTCGAGATCTAAGTGGGTTTGACATGCATCCTACTGCCGCAGTCATCACATGTGGCTCATATTTTATCAAAATTGACTGGCTCTGTTGTGTAAAATGTGGGGTGAAAAGGTAGGCAGTGTTAGTGAACCCCACTGAGTCAAATGTGATGCTTACTCTCTTTGTTGCACATCTTTTTTTACTTTAGTCAAAAAATTTTTTTAGATTTTTTTTTTTTTTTACCTCAAAGGTTATATTTCTTCAAGGTGCTCTTAGTTGGCATATAAGATTAAGAATATTAAAATAACCTTGGCCCTGTACACACATGGAGCAGATGTGCAGCTTGGTCATCATGTGGGTTCCCTAACTCTGTTGCCTCCCTTTCCACTATCTGGGCTGCCTTATCTAGTCTCAGTGGAAGAGGATGGCCTTAGTCCTCTGCAACTTGATGTGCCAGGGTGGGTTGGTACCCATGGGAGGCCTCCCCTTCTCTGAGGAGAAGGGGAAGGGAAGGGGTTGTGATGGTGGAACTGGGAGGAGAGGAGGGAGGGGCTTCAATCGGGCTGTAAAGTGATTAAATAAATTAATTAATGAAAAAAGTATTAAGGAATAAAATGAGTGAAAGAATGCTGAGAATAGTAAAGAAATCTATTTAGTCAGACTCATTAAACATGGAAATAAGTTTTTAAAACATACTGACATTTTAATTTTGGTAACATTTGGAAATTTTTTTTCTGACTGTCCCTGGCTATTGGTGAAAAGATGATGGGAAAGTTACCAAAGTTACCAAGAAAGTGGTGGGATGCAGCATGCACCTCGGTAACCTACGTAGTTTACTCCATAAGGGTGATGCACTTGGCAGTGAAGTGTGTGAACTCTGGCTTAGGTCTTCTGGGTTGAAGGTTACTACAAGCTCTTTGACCATCAGTAAGCCTCATGGCCTTCCTGAGGCCTGGTTGGAACGTGTGAAAAGTGGATCGAGTGGCGATGCTAGATGTCAGAGTGCTGTTAGAAGGTTAAATGGAATAATACGTAACCAAGGCTGTGGCGGGTGTCCACACAGCTGTTGTTATAGAGCAGTTTGACCTCAGAGAGTTGTCTGGATGAGATCCCTTCTCACAGAGTTCTCTTCTTCTAGTCGTTGATGAATCGGAACTCAGTTTTGTCAGACCCTGGACTAGACAGTCCTCAAACCTCCCCTGTAGTCGTGGCCAGAGTGACCCAGCACCACAGGCGACAGGGCTCAGATGCACTGCTGCTCCCACACAACGACCAGGTGAGAGATGGGAGCCACTCTGTTTGCCCTTCTCCTCTCACAGTTAGGTTGTAGGCTAGGCTGTTACAGTGTGTAAACTTGAATAATCAGAGGAGACTCTGTCCTGACAACCTACAAATGCAATTTGCAGTAATCACCTACAGAACAAATAGAGAAGAACAAGTATGGTGTGAATGAAAAAGTAAGGAAGTCAGACCTGGTTTCTCTATCCATCAGAACACAATTAAGGGAAAATGGATGGACCCCTTTAAATGTTGATAGACTAAGTATCAACTGTTCAGAATGCTTATATTCCCTTAGCAAAGCTTTGTTTCAACCAAAACTGGAGGCAAGAGAATAAATAAGATCAATATATAGTGATGTAGATGTATGAAAATGTCATAATGAAACCACTTTGTATATTAAATAAGCAATAAGCCTCATTATTGGAATCCTAATACAGAAAACAAACAAAAGTCCAGTGTGCTTGAGATCTTTCTTTGTCAAGCTACCTTGCCACCTTTTTCCTCGGGCTCTTCACTACTGCCCAAAGACTGCCAAATGTAACTTGAAAGCCCCTCTCAGAGGTGGCACTAGGTCCAGGGAAGATCTCAGGAAGAACAGATTTTGGCTCAAAGCAAAGTCCTGCAAAGAACCTGGGCTGTGTAGCTATGGGTGGGCTTTCCAGGCTTAGTGCAGGTAGAGGCTAATAAGATACTGGTGCACTAAAACAGGATTCCATAAAATTCACCACTGCACTGATTTTTTTTTCCAAACCCACATTCCAGTTGCAAATGTTATTTAGTATATCCTTCAAGCTTGCTTCTTTCTTTCTTTCTTTCTTTCTTTCTTTCTTTCTTTCTTTCTTTCTTTCTTTCTTTCTTTCTT